TATTGTGTCTTGAACTTCTCTTCATCCTTGATGACCCGATAGCAATGAGAGAGGTTGAAGCACTTGTCATTGTGTTAAACCTTGAATGCCTCGAAAGCTTGAAATGCCTACAAAATGTTTCCATGCAAGCATATGGATAAGTGATAGCAAATGAAGACGTAAAAGGATGATCTTGATGACACAAAAGAGGGCGGCTTGCTTGCTATTATACCATGTCTTGCATGCCGATGCCGCTCACGGGGCAGGCCTTGACGCTCTCAAGGGTGGCGCAAAACTTGTTGCACTCTTGTTGGATCACCCTCCACCGCTTGGAAATGGAGACCCACCCGCGCGTGCTCACAAATTGGTAAGGTGGAAACTTCTTGCGCTCATGAAACTCTCGGTGCACACGAGTCCAAAAGGTCGAATGCTTTTGCTCGGCTCCCATCTTTGGGTCTTGTCCAATGTCTCGCCAACACTCACAAAGAAGCTTGTCCTCGGCAGCTGTGTACGCCTTCGTGCGCTTACTCTTGCGCTTCGGCTTAGGACCTGTGGCTTGGTTGGCGAGCTCGTCCTCGAACAAAGGCTCCACTTCGATGTCGCACTCGTCCTCTTCCTCTAGCCCATAGTCCTTCGGGAACTCGTGGTCGAGGGGGAAGCCATCCAGGTCGATGCCGACCTGATCACGCATGAAGGTCGCCTGATCGGGATCATAGCCAGCGGCCGGCGTGAACGCTCCGCGACCGTCTTGGCTTTGTGTCTCGTCAGGATCGTAGCCAGCGCCCGGCGCACCATCCTTGAAGATGAGGTTTTTCATGTAGTCCTCATCGACGGCAGATGGCATTTCCTCGAACGGGTTACGGGCGTCCGGGAGCCCGCCGGCTGGCGTCTGTCCGCGTGTTTCCTCGTGCCGTCGGACGATGAGCCACCGACCATCGGGGTGGCGTTGAGATCGATGGGCGCGGGCGCGGGCGCGGGCGTGGAAGGCGCGACCACGCTCACGTCGGGTGAGCACTCCCCGGAGAGGTGGAGGCCTGCGGGTAGACGTGGAAGCGGGGACCGGGTTGCAAGCCGACGCGCGGGGTGAGTCGGGCAGCACCACCTGAGAAAACACCGACGAGCCGGTGCTGGCCGCGGCGACGGCGGCTTGGAATGCGCTGTCCTGGCTAGGGTTTACCCCTAGCATGTAGAGCGCCTCCCTCGCTACCGCCACGACACGGGCGTTGGTGAACTCCTACTACGCGGCGGCGACGGCGGCGGCCTGCGCGGTGGCCTCATTCCTCGCGTCCGCGGCGTGGCTCCGGCCCTTCCTCTTGGCCGACTCCCTTACCCGATGTTCGGGCGTCAGCGCCTTCTTCGGCTTGGTCGCGGCGCCGGTCTTGCGCGGGGCACGAGGCTTGCCTTTCCCGGAGGGGGCGACGGCGCCGGACGAGGCGAGGGAGGCGAGGCCGGCGCCGGCGTCGAGGTCGATGGCGTCCTCCATGGCTGGTTGGGGGGCGGGGGCGCGCGCAGGCGGGAGTGTTTTTAGGAAAAATTGGGAGAAATGATGGTGGCTGCCACCGACTGGCGGGCTCTGGAAGAGGAGTTGGCGCGTGTGCGCGCGTCTGTCTCGTGTCCGCGCTGACGCAAATCCAGCTCAAAATTGGGCCGGGAATGAGTCGCCAGCGGACGAAAAACATACGCGCGTCCGTTTAGGTCGGCGCGTTGGGCCGCCACTTTGTCCGCACCGATTCAAAAGACGCGCGCGGACGAAATGGGTCGCCCCATTAAAGTTGCTCTTATCATTTCATATAAAAAAATGAGCTTTACCCTTTCAGCTTTTGGAAAAGTTCTAGCATGCGAAACCACTTGTAAGAACTGTGATGTGCTTTAGCAATCACCTATCCATACATGCATGCATCTGCAATTCTGCATGCTTGACTCGTGGTCGTCTCTTCCGGCAATCAGGCGTAGCCGCGTAGGAAAGCAAGTAACGCTCACCTGATCTCTGGCGCTCTGCTGGTTGAACTTGGAGTCCTCGTCGCTCAAGTCGCTGGACGTGTACACCGACAGGAGATAAAAGTATATTTTTCGTCCCTCAATTCTTGATCGAGTCTAAATTTAGTTCCTCAATTTCGAAACCAGACAACTTACACCTTCAACTATTGAAACCGGACAAGATTCGTCCCTGGTCTTGGTTTTGACCGGTTTTGGAGCTGACTCACCCCAGTTTTGACCGGTGCTGACTCAAATTCGCGTAATTTTTTTAAATCTGTGATTTTTTTTAAATCCACGTACATTTTCATATGTGCCCACTCATTGAAATTCGTGTACTTTATTCAAAAATTATTATTTTTAAATCTGCAAACCTTTCTGAAATTCGTGTACCTTTCTCAGTTCATGTAATTGTTTCAAATTCGCGTACTTTTTCAAACCCTTTATTGTTTCTAATCCATGAACTTTTCTACAATTCATGTGCTTCCAAAAATCCATGCACCTTTTCCAAGTTAGCCTATTTTTCAATATTAGTGTAATGTTTTCATGTTCACGTACTTTTTTTTTAAATTCATGAATCTTTCAACAATATTCGTGTAAACCTTTTTGAAATTCACGAATATTTTTCAACTTCGCATTTTTTTCAAATTCGCGTACTTTTATTCTAGTTCATGTACTTTTTTCAAATTCAGATATTTTTCTACAAACCCACATACATTTTTCAAGTTCGCATGTTCTTTCAAATTCACATACCTTTATTATAGTTCGCATACTTATTTAAATTCACATGTTTTTCCACAAAACCACTTACATTTTTCAAGTTCACATATTTTTTAAAATTCGTGTATTTTTATTCTAGTTCACGCACTTATTTAAATTCATGTATTTCTCTACAAAACGCGTACATTTTTCAAGTTCGCGTATTTTTTTTCAAATTTTCTTACTTTTATTATAGTTCGCATACTTATTTAAATTCACATGTTTTTCTAAAAAATATTATGCGGATTTGGAAAAAGTATGTGAATTTGAAAAAATTACGCAAACTTGAAGAAAGTACGTGGATTTGGATAAAGTAAACTGATTTGAAATATACACAAATTTAGGAAATGTGCAAACTTGAAAAAAGTTTGTGGGTTTGGAAAAAAAATACAGGAATTTGAGTCAGCTCAGTCAAAACCGAGTGAGTCGGCTGCAAAACCGGTCAAAATAGAGTCCAGGGACGAACCTTGTCTGGTTTCAATAGTTGAAGGTGCGTGTTGTCCGGTTTTAAAGTCGAGGAACCAAATCTAGACTCTGTGAAAAGTTGAGGGACGAAAAATATACTTTTCTCCTGACAGGAACCCATGGTGCACCAAAGCATCAACGCTACATCGACGGAAGGTTACAGGTGTTTTACCGGGTGATACTGATTTGTCAAGTTGTGATTGGATTAAAGGGGGAGGGACGGGCCCCACCAGGGTGAAAATCAGAGGGGCCGGAATCGGATATATTATTAGGAAAGGGCCTGTAAAACTCCTGTAAGGGGCCCGTACGTTTAGCATTTTTGATAAATACCACAGCCAAGATGATCCAAACAAGCCAAACAAGTAACAACCAACTCATTGCCATATAGCGCCACTGCAAATCAAAAGGTTAAGACGCCCATTACCGCGCGCGCGGCACTGCCGATCGATCGACGACAGACCCACGCACGCCATGTCGTCGCCGGACCCCGGAAGCATCGCGAGCCGGTGGCGCGAGCTGCAGGGCGCGGGGTCGTGGGAGGGGCTGCTGGACCGGGACCTGCGCGCCTCCATCATCGCCTACGGCGAGCTGGCGGAGGCCACCTACGACGGGTTCAACTCGCAGCGCCGCTCGCTGCACGCCGGTGCGTGCTTCTACGGCCATGACGACCTGCTCGCCGCCGCCGGCGTGGTCCGCGCTGGCCACTACGCCGTCACCAAGTTCATCTACGCGACAAGCGGGTTCTTCCTGGCGCCCACGACGGGGACGTCCGTGCCCGACGCCTTCTTCGTGCTGCTGCTGCCGTCGCTGCTGGAGGAGCCCTGGTGCCGGGAGTCCAACTGGATGGGGTACGTGGGAGTGGCCACGGACGAGGGCGTGGCGGCGCTCGGCCGGCGCGACATCGTCGTTGCCTGGCGCGGCACAGTGGAGAGCCTCGAGTGGGTTAACGACCTGGACTTCACGCCCACGTCCGCCGCGCCCGTGCTTGGCTCGGCGGCGGATGATTTCGACTCCGCTTTGGTGCACAAAAATGCTAAACGTACGGGCTTCTTACAGGAGTTTTACAGGCCATTTCCTAATAATCTATCCGATTCCGGCCCCTCTGATTTTCACCCTGGTGGGGCCCGTCCCTCCCCCCTTAATCCAATCATAACTTGACAAATCAGTATCACCCCGTAAAACGCCCGTAACCTTCCGTCGATGTAGCGTTGATGCACTTCGGTTTTGTAATGCCTCTCGAATACAGTAGTGGCACATGATTGTGAAGAATCCACCTTTGCAATTGCAACGTTCGTCGGACCATGCCGCCCGCAGCGACACACACCCAGCTCAGCTGCTGGTCTTCATCTGCGTGCGAGCGCTCTTTGGTTACTTGCGTGCAAGCTTCAGTTGCTTGAACCCACCAACGTCTGACCACCAACTTGAGTACGTATGTACGTACTACTACTGTAGTATACTCCTATTTGTCGTGTTCTTCATGTGCCGTACCCGTACGTGGAGGAAAATTAAATGTAAGGGTTCGCTTCAGAGGGAGCGGGTGACTGGTTCATCCGGCTGGGAAATTAGCCCATCAATTTCAAGAACGACAGTGCCTTGACGTGCCGTCGTGTAGCGCATGTGGTTCCTGTGGAGCAAGGGTGTTCCTCCTACCGCCCCGAAAGAAAACGCAGTCTGTGGAGCAGGGACTTGTGGTGGTGGGTGAAATCGGGATGAGTTGTGCCGTCGTCGTCCGTGCTATCCATCAGGTTATCGTATCAGCCGGCGGTAGGTTTGAGACGGCATTGGTGTTTTTCATGTGCCGTGTGGTACTCTTTATCGTGTTCTTCATGCGCCGAGGAGTGGATAGGCACGGAGAGAAATTAAAAGAATGCATCGCCTCCTCGGCGGAAACGAGTTACTGGAAGATCTGGCTGAGAAATTAGCCTGGCCGTACAATAATTTCTAAGGGCATCTCTAACGTAGAATATCAAACAGACGCCGCTAAATATCCAGGCATCTCCAACATGGATCAGGAATGCCCTAAAATATTTGCGGGCATGTCTAGACATGTTTGCGGATATTCAATTTGGAGCCGGCCATACAATTCTATCCCTCATAAACAAGGCGATCACCAATCCATACAACATTGATACATGCTAGTTCAAGATTTTTACAATGCAG